TTGATGCTATTTCGAAAAAAGTATGGCCTAATAATTGTGTTTTACCATAAACGTCAAATCATATTGTTTTAAATGAATAGTGGTCTAGCGTTTGAATATTGAAATTGGAAATAACATCGCTCCACCTTTTCAAGAACTTTCCATTAGATGTAAATGTTGCCTCGTCAGAGAAGAGTTCCGCTTGGATACAAAAACAAAATTTATTCAGTCGACTTCTTTTAAAGTATGGGTAAAATAGGGTTGGAATGATTTAAATTTATTTGATTTTAAAATTCTTGCAACTGTACTTTTACTCACATTCAATAAATTTGCAGGATTTTCATTTTCTTTATTCCTAAATCATATGTTATGATTTCTTCGTTTATTTTCAAAACTTCTAGACATCTTGAATTAATGTATTACATACTAATGATAATGTCCTTTTGATGTAAATTGAATTTTAAAATAAATGATTTAACCATGAATTTCCTCAACCTAAATAAAAATTTATTCGTACTATCCTATCTTCTGCTATTCTACTAATGTGCTGTTTGCGTTTTGTCACCCATTCATTTATGTCTTCTATACTGCATGCTCTTCTTATGTTTTCGCTTCTCTCCCCATCCAACATACTTTTCCCTGATATTTGTCGGAGTATTTTCGTTTCTGCTGCTTCTAGTGGTCGTCTCGTTTTAGATACGTCAGGTCTTGTCTCCGCCGTGTATGTTAATATAGGTCTAATTGCTGCTTTATAGATTCTTGTTTTTGTGTCTTGTCTTATGTGTTGTTCTTCCAGGTGTCATTAAGAGATCCCACCGCTTAAAGGTTAAATTCCGAAAGTGGCTGCAGACTGCAGACCGCAAACCGCAGACTGCAGCGACAGTGTCGTCTGCGGTCAGACCAATTCCGAGCAGAACTGCACTGCATCTACAAAACAGCGACAACAGCATACCACGATGGGAATTTATAATAGTATAATATTAAATGTCGTATGACGACGATCTTTTACTTTTGCATTATAAAAGAAAAAAGAAACCGACTAGGTCTCTATTTAAAAATACACAATTTGAAGGAAGTTATTCAATACTTATTAAAAATCATCTAATGGCTAACGACGATATTCAGAAACAGCAAAAATACGTGTTGTCACTCTGCGGTCGGCGACACTACTAGTTCTGGTGCAGTTTTGCGGTTTGCGGTGGCGACATTTTGCTTGCGGTGGCGACAGTGCCGCTCTACTCGACATACAGCTCATAAGAAACCATATGAACCAGTAGGTCTATCGCTGCGGTCTGCGGTCTGCGGTTTGCAGTTTGCGGTCGTGTTCGGAATCGTACCTTTACTTGCTTTTAAGCTTTGTTGTCGTACTTCTTCATCAACATCTCCGTAACTAGTTATATCTATTTCCATATATCTAAACCTTGCTTCCTGTTTTATTATTTTCCCATCATTTTCGACTTTACATCGTAGTAGGTATTTAGATGTTGTCATATATTTGGTTTTTTTTTGCTGATATTATCATATTGTATTTCTTGACTGTTGTAGTGAAGATGTGTGTTAATCTTTGGAGCTCGTCTTCTGTCTTGGCGATTAATGCGGCGTCGCGTCGTCTGCATAACATAATATTTGGATTTCTTTGTTCCTCATTCTGTAACTATGATCTTTACGTACTACTTGTGTTATTTCGTCCATTACTATATTAAAGAGAAGTGGGCTTAACCCCAAGGTGGGAAAAGTATGTTTTGTGATAGTGTTAAAATTTTATGAACTAACTTATTCAAGGTCCATTCTAATATTCTTCCAGACCGAATTACGTCTTTTCTTAATATCCTCGCTTATATTACAATTTATCTTCATTTCATCTCGTTTCTGACCCTTTTTCGTTTTAATTTACCACAACTTCGTCTCAAATAGTCCATCTCTGTCGTTATAGGTTTGTTTTTATTAGTATTTGTAATGATTTGTACAGTAGTAGTATAGATATATGTTTTGTTTCTTTTTTAATTGTCTTTTTCAAGAGAATAAAGCTTAAGTTTGAAACACTGCTTTACCCTTATTCATTCTTGCTCTCATTTTATTTTTACTACTTCCTTTCGCATTAACTATTGGATTATTGCTATAAAAATATTATTGTGCTATGAAAAAATAGTAATTTGGTGGAGGTAGGGCGCGATCTAGGACATGCAATTAAAAACGAAAAGGAAAATCAAACCCTAGAAATTAAAAGAAGGACACAATTGTCATGGGCTGCTTTTGGTAAGTTGAACTTCATTTTAAAAGACAGAAATATCCCAATACACTTTTAACAAAAAACCTATGACACTTTTATACTACCAGTTGCAATTTATGGATTGGAAACTATGACAATAACAAGAAAAATGGCAGAACAATTAAGAGTAACTCAACGGGCCATGTTAAATATAAGCCTCAGAGACAAAATTCCTAAGACCGAAATACGTCGAAGAACTAAAGTAACCGACATCATGGGAAAAATAGCTACATTGAGATGGCAATGGGTAGCACATGTAGCAAGACAAGACACCAACAGATGGTCTCATAAAGTGACATTCTGGAGACCTCGAGAAACAAAAAGAAGCGTGGGAAGACCCAAAAAGAGATGTATAGACGATATAACAGCTGTAGCTGGAAAGCAGTGGATGAGAATTGCAAAAATAGAGAAGCGTGGAAGCAATTGGAGGAGGCCTATGTCCAACAATGGATAAATGAAGGCTGAAGAAGAAAAAGAAGAGAAGGGAGCAATTTTCAGCATTGAAACCTAGACTAAGGCCCTTGCTATTGCTATGTACACTTTGAATCCAATACTATTTGGAAAATCCAATTACCATTTTAACCAACAACAAAAATGAAGTCAAAAACACAAAAATAGTCACAGACAAGCAGGCCATAGAAATCTGCAAATCTAAAAATGCTTTCCATTCCCATGTTAACTTCATTAAGAAGGATACTTTGGAACCATCAATAAATCTGAATCCTTTGACCCCACCAAGAGTTAGATTTACCCATAACTCGAACAGTTGATATCTTTTAGCAAGATTAAGGTAACCGAATATCTTGAAATTCATTAAGCTACATCTGGCTTTTCTACACCACCAACCTGCTTCAGTACGTTACGAAGGATTCAGTAACACAGGCGTTAAACTCCTTTTGGCTTCCGAAGGACTTCTCACTAAGACTGAAGATCTACGAAAAACCTTTCTAAAATTTAACGATGCCTATGGAATTGGTCCAACTGAGGTGGAAGCTGATCTTGCTGCTTTTAGGTCCTTTCTCACTTCGGAAAGAATTATTCATCTTCAAAAATCAAGGGAAAGTCACCGAAACTACTATTCCGTTGTCTCTCCAAAACGAAATTTTTAAATGATATGAAGTGCCTGTGGAACTAAAAACCTTAAATTATTTTAGTGATGACAACTTCCGAATGGTTCTGACTAATATTTGTTCTATAAGATATAAAACAGATGAATTATTTTTGTTTCTAGAGGAATTAGGATGTCCCCCGATAGTTGCAGTTACTGAGCACTGGCACCACAATTGCTAGGTATGATCGTCTAAGTTCAGCTCATGGTGGCACCCTAATTCTTACTACAAATAATGAATTCTCTCCTATAACAAAATATGACTATCTGTTGAATGAATCCTTTTTTGAGTTTTCATTGTTTTATAACAAGAATCTTAATCTATACATTCTTTGCAGTAATAGATGACCTGATTCTTCCACAGAACTTGCTAAATTTGTTAGACGACCTGCCCAATAAAAGCGGAAAAATCTATGCGGTGCACAAAAGCATTGTATGTGGAGTACCACAAGGTTCAGTATTGGCTCCTCTACATTTCCTTATCTTTATAAATGACATCCCTAACTTAAAACTCAATGGAACTCTACTTAACATAAAATACTACTTCTACTCTAAATTACTCTCTTTTAACGTGGATAAGACAGTAGCATTATCCTATAAAGGAGCTCTTCAACCCTTGCTTCTTAATAAAAGCCATATCAGTATCGTTGATTCTTTAAAATTTCTTCTGTGTCTCTTCTTCGATATGGTCTTCATTTTTGGGGTTCCAGCACAGCCGTAAGGTTTTATTATGCAATTTGCAATTTAGTTAAATTTGCAGTGGATTGTATATGTTATTATCTTTTATTTTGAGAAATTGACGATTGATGTAAATTTAGTAAATTTTAATTGTTATTGTTATTTTTTTGACTATTTGTAAGCTTAGTCCATAAAATTGTACAATTTTCATTGATAATAAAGCATATTTCTATTCCATCCTTCTTAAAGTAACAAAATTATATTAAGTATATTTAATATATGGCCGATTTATTAGTTTTGAGCATATTAAACTGTCACATTTCTTTAAACTGTTAGAAACTTCTTTCTTGAATATACATATGTAAATATTATTTATATTATAAAACAATTTGCTCAAATTTTCATCCATATAATGGACTTTATCTAGCAAATTATTTCGCTGTAGTTTAAACTTCATTTTCATTGATTCTATTATTCAGTGGTCTTGAGGTTTGGCACAAATAAAAGTTGTTGCGTTCATAGTTATATAATAAATCTAATTTTTGTTCTATCTTGTTGAATATTAACTTACTTACTTACTTAGATACTTAAATCAAATTTTAATGTATTTCTTGTTTTTGAAATCTGCTACAATGCTATATGTATTTGGTACGTTGTTGTTTAACTTTTTCTAACAAATCTTTTATTGATTGGGAATCTATATGTTTGTATCATTTTCTATAAACTTTGCAGAATTTTGTTTATTATTTCGTTGTTGTAATGTGTCTCATAACATTTTTGTTCTTACTACTTTGTTTTCACAAAAAATATTGACTTTAGCGCGTAAAATACCAAAAATGGTAATGATTCTGAGTGAAATCGTCAACTTTATGATCGTACATAATTGTTTATAATAATTAAAATGAAAGTTATTTAAGAAATTAATCTGAAATGTCATAGGAATGTCTAGAGGGAAGGTTCTCTTACCTTTTGGCATTCCGCATGGTGGTTTCGTGCGCGAACTATCCAAGAAATCCAAATCGTACTTTCTAGCCGGTGGAAATGTCAATGCGACGTGTCCTTGCACGTAAACGGTCCAAAAACATAGCACTTGCACTAAACAAAAAACCCCCACGGGTCGCGAGATTGGTCCCATATTGCTATCGCACGCAACGCACTAGCACTATACACCCTGTATATTCATACCACAGCCTCGAAGAAGGTGTTCACCGCTGCATAGTACTTCAAGAACTACCGATCTAAAGCGGCGTACCAATTTTCTCTCTCTTTATTACAGAACCGTCTTGAGCAGGTGGATTCATTCATTTTGCAGGTTGTCAATGTCAAGTAATACTGATGAATATTTTCAAAGACAGGTTCCTAAGATGGTTGATGAAATTTTTTAATATTGATAAGAAGGACTCAAGATGGTACCTATTTATTCAGTTAAGTGGCATTAGTTAGAAATAAAATGTAAAAGACAAAAAAAATTAAAAGACAACTATACTAACAGTATTTAAGCTCCAAATCATTAGACAAAGACAAAATAAAATATAAAAAAAAAACAAGCAGAAATAAGGAACATTTCTAAGAAGAAGAACGGGTCTTGGGAAAGAAACTGCATGGAATAAATACTTATCTATCTATAAATAATTTCAAGAATATAGAAATCAAAAACAAAAAAGAATTTCAATAGTCGGCTCGCCGATAAGATTAACAATAGAGGAAATTAAAAATATAATGTAAACTGCTGAAGAGGAACAAAGCACCCAGACCAGCGTATATACCCGGAGAATTGTTTAAGTACGAAACGAACAAATTGTACGAATGTCTTCGACGACTATTTGGAACATATCATACCTCAGTAACTATACATAAAAAGCGTGATAAAAATAATTATGAAAGTTACCGAGGAATAGCTGTAACCGGATCTATGAGTCGAATGTATGGAAAGGTTCTAGATTATGAAACAGAAGAACAAGCATAATTTCGTACATTTTCTCCTTAACTCAAATAATAGAAAAAAAGATGGCACAGAATCAAAAGATTCATATGTTTTTTGTCGACCTACGGAAAGCCTACGACAGCGTTCCACTGAAGAAGCTGTGGCAATCAATCGAAAGCACGAATATTAATATAGAATTAAAAAAAGCCGTCAAAATGCTATACAACCAACCAATAACAAAAATAAAAGAAGGGGCACAAATAACAACAGGATTTATAACATCAAAAGGATTAAAGCAAGTTTGTCCCCCACTTTTTTTAAAACATACCTCGAAAGTGTTTTAAAAATATGGAAACAAAAATGCACGCTAATGGGGATACCGCACACCAACACTATGGTATATACACTCAACTTTGCAGACGATCAAGTAATAATGGCTTAAGATTATGACGATTTAAACTATATGGCACGAAAATTAATTGAAGAGTATGATATATGGGGTCTAGAAGTAAATAAAAAGAAAACGGAATACCTGTGCATTGGAGTAGAACAAAAAGATCTCATATTAGACGATAACACCACAATAAATCACTGCTCTGATTACAAATATCTAGTTATCACTATTTCACAAGATGGACCATTAGACAAAGCCATACGAGCGAAAAATACGTCAGGGAGAAAAGCCATCACAATGTTAAACAGCATTTTATAGGAGCAATCCATCAGTAAAGAAAATAAAAAGAGGATATATGAGACTATAGTAAAAAGTATCACTTTATACAGCTGTGAGGTAATGGCCACTGAAAAAAAGAACACTGGCAAAGCCAAAAGCGACGGAAATGGATTTTTGGAGAAGAGCCGCAGGAAGATCTAGAATACAAAGGATTACCAACGAACGCATTAGAGAAATAATGGGAATCAAACGAAACAATCACAGATAGAAATATTAAAACGGCAACCAGAAGGTAAGAGAAAACGAGGTAGACCGAGAAAAAGTTGGAGCGAAGGAATAAATAAAGAGCTGAGAGAGAGGGTCATAGAAGAAGACAGACCTATGGAACAACCGAACTAAGTGGCGATTGAAAGTCGAAAAATGGCGGAAGACGTTATATGCCGACAAGTAGTAGTAGTAGTAGGAATTAGTTAGGATTTGATGTTGAACACAACTTTGTAGTATTTTCAACATTGTGGAAACACATTTTTGTAGATAACTACTTTTTCTTCTTTTTCTTATTCCTCTTTATAAGTAATTCTGCTTGTTTATTGGCGTGTTAATATCTCTATGAAAGGTTGTCATTCCATCTTTTGCTCGGTCGTCCAATACTTCTTCTGCCGATTGGTGACTTATCTCTTGCTATTTTGACGACACGGGTCTCCCCCATTCTGCTTGCTTGTGTGGTTACTTATTCTTTTTTTTCTATTTAGTGTCCATTCATTAAGAGATGATAAAAAAGATAAATATCAAAACTAAAATGACAATTTTTGGCATAAAATATCAGGCATGATATAAGGAAACAAGGTATGCTCACTAGGTGGACTCGTTTTTGCACATCGCTGCGCCGACCAAAATCCACCATTTTTTCAATACGTCACATGCGTGACGTCTGCTTTGTTTACGTCCAGCTAAGTGTTTTGCATTTTAGAGTAAAGTTAGTTTTTCGATAATAATGCCAAATTGTGCTGTTAATTGGGACATACAATGGGGATACATGTTTAACTGTCTGTATTTCTAATGGAAAGGGGGTAAAATGTAAGTGGGAAGGGTATTAAGGTTTGGACTAAAATAATTATTGTAAAATTGTGATAGAAGGTTAGTTTAATAATACAGCGAAAAAATGGCATGGTTTTTCGCATGTGAGAAAATTGAAGAATAGTGCTAATGTGAGTAACATACAACAAAAGTTCTTGAAAATGACAAACACAAACAAGCAGCGTCGAAGAACATACCAAGAACAAAAAGATGAAATTAGAAAAAACCACTGGCACAAAAAGTCTGCGATTACAAAAGCAAGACGACCTAGAAAGATATGCCGATTTATTATTATATATCCCAACCCATTATTTTCATCCTGTCTTCAATTGCGAATGTAATAAATCTTTGGCCATTATCATTTGTATTCGTATGTTTACTGTCGCCACCCTGTTATGTTTTTATATCTTCTCTTCCAGCCTTTGCATTGGCGTCGCCTAGAATAATTTTAATATCTTGTCTGGGCATTTCTTCAGACAATGACTCTAATTCTTCATAAAATTGATCTTTCACTTCTCATTTTTCTTCTGTAGGAGCATGTATATTCATCAGCGATATCATGTTCTTTTTTCCTTTTCACTTCTTCTCATTTCTCTTCTGTTGGAGCATGTATATTTATCAGCGATATCATATTCTCTTTTCCTATAATTCTAATTGCACACATTCTGTCAGGTTTTGCTACGAATAATTTTATCTGCTTTAGGTCATCATGTACCAGAAAACCCACTGCAAAATTCCTATTTTCCCCTCCACTTGTATAAAACGTGTATGGACTAATCTTCCAGTTTCCAGTCAATGATTTCACATGATGTGTATTTTATATTTTTTAAGTTCTTCTATTACGTTAATTAATGCTCCCTCCTCATATACTCCTCGTATATTTCATGTCACAATATTTAGGTATGTATTCTTATTTTTTGTTTTGCTATTTGTGTTCAAACTCATTTTCCTGTTCATTGCTAGGATCCGTCGGCATAATGGGTCGTCTTTCTCGTTTTCCACTACTACGTATATGCCGTTTTTGGGGTCAATATTTCTAAAATTTTATGCCATCCACAGTTAATTTTTTGTACCCTATCTTCACATTTTTACCTTTAGTTCTTAATCCCTTGCCTTTATTTACAATTTTCTGCCTCAGGCATGGATAAAAATCATAGTTAATTTTAGTCAAGATTTAACATGAAGTTAACATACATCTTCCCTGCTCAAAATGGGGAAGTTTTTCCGACAATTTAGAACCAGCCAACTCATGAGTAAAACTCCGCACTCGCTTACATTTTTTTGCGCAGGGCAAAAAACCACCGATCCTTACTTTAAAGACTACCATGTTCATGTAGGCTAGCGTGTATTTGCCCGTATTCCTCCACTATGAAGAACATTCTTTGGGATGCACTATAAATAATAATACAATAAATGTAAAAGTTCTAAAGAACGGCTCTGTATTGCTCTCTCTCTCCATTTGTAGCACCGAGTAGTTGGCTCTGGTGCGATAGTCGCGAGAGTTAAGAATACCATCTACGACGTAGGCAGAGGTGAGCTGGGTACGTTGGAATTTTACCTTGAGGTTCTCGTTTTGTAAGGTGCAAGTTTATTAGCTACAAATTGAAAGAATTTTAAAATTATTGCTATTAGCTTGATACCTTCTGAGAAGAAGAGGATTTCTGAAGATTATCAACAGTTTGATGAGAATTTATTGTTATTCGTTTAAGAAGTACCTAATTATCAAAAATAACATGCTAGTAATGTGTAATTTTGTCTTAAATTTTGTGTAAAATATAAAACTCAAACAATTTATTGTCTCTTTTCTACGTACATTAAAATAAAAACATGTGTATCATGGGAAAATATCCTTGAACGCATCCGTAAATTTCAAATAGACGAATAAATCAGGATTTATTCGAAAAAATCCTCAATAGATGAAAGTTAGGAGGCGTATTTATTGATTTGGGGTAATATTAAGATACAGTAATTCAAAGGGTTGCCAAAAAACTATTTTATATTGCAGTATAAGATCACCAAACGAATCATTAAAAGTAAGTCTTCTTAAGTGAAATTATCAGTAGTAATATCCCTAGGACATTGATAACAGACGAGATAATTTCATGACAATCGAAAGCTCGTTCCTTGGTAACAGCACGAAGCCGAAGGCTGAGTACTCTCATCTTTGCCGTTTCCAGTAACCTTTGCATTGTGGGTCTTGTTTTATGAGACATATATTAGTATTTGTCTTACACTGGTTTTATAAATTCTTGACTTCATCCCAGTGTTAATGTATATGTTTTGCCATGAGGCATCCTGCCAGTCTATTTGCTTTTTGTACTTGATCTCTCACTTCTTTGTCCAGGTCTCCATAGCTAGACAGAGTAATTCCCAGGTATTTTATTTCCATTATTTGTTAAATCGGATATGAGTAATAAACAATTTGGCTTTCGTAACGACTTCGGAACAGTGGAAGCTCTGTACAGTTTCACAACTCTTGCCCAAAAATGTCGAGACCAACAAAAAGATCTTTTCGTTGCGTTCATAAACTATGAGAAAGCTT